TATTCAACTATAACTTGGTGCTCGGGGTGGTAAGTCGAGGATTGTTTTTACTTTATCCTCATCTGGGTGAATTCCAGTGTGATCGACTCGATAACCTTAGAATTTTCCCGATTGCACTTCGAATGCGCACTTATGTGGATTAAGCCTCAAGTTGAAGGCTCACATCACATAAACACTTTCCTCAATACTTTAGAATGATCCTCTTTTTTCTTGGCCTTGATTACGATACTGTCCACATAACACTCTATCTCCTTGTGCATCATATCATGGAAGACACTCGCCATTGCTCTCTGGTATGTGGGCCTTTCCGCTGTATAGGGTGCATCTATGGAGTCCATATAGATCTGATTATAGCCACTGTATGCATCTAGGAAACAGAACATCTAGTTCTCGGCCATAGCATTAATAAGGGTTTCCATATTCGGCAATGGAAACTCATCCTTAGGGTAGGCTTTGTTCAAGTCCTTGAAGTCTACACAACACCTAGGGTAAGAGAGAATGGAAGTTAGTGCGCTAGACCTTCACAAATGACTATAGGCTAGTGTGTTGGGATCTGGATACTAACCTTGGTTAGCCATTCTTCTTCTTGATTGGAACAACATTTGCTAACCACTACGAGTAAGCGATTGGCTTTATAAAGCCCACCTTCAAGAGTTGTTCAACTTCTTTGATCTTTAGGGCAATTTCCAGTTTGAAAGCACGTTGCAGTTGTCTCACGGGCCTAAACTTGGGATCAATAAAGAGCGAATGCTTAATCAGTGCCAAGTCCAGCCCAAGCATCTGGTCATATGACCAGGTGAAAACATCTTAGAATTATTCTAATGGGAGAGGAAGTAGTTTAGTTATGTTTGACAAGGCTTCTAGTCTTGCGATTAGGGTGAACATTTAGTGCCTTTTAAGAGGTTTATCAGTTTTGTCTTTTCTTCAGGGTCTAACTTGGCTGACACATACAACAACCTCTTTTCCATTCCTTCGGTAGCCATTTCAATTTCTTCCAGGGGCTCTTCCACGACGCCATTTGAGTCTTGCATGTGCATAGGAGGCATGTGGACTTCGTCATAGTATTCCATTGTTTCTCTAAGATGGTCCTATTATTAGCACCGTCTCAATATTTCTCCTATCACTAATGGAAGTTTGAGAATGTTGATTCGTGTACCTTTACTATTGTTGTTTTGTCATGATTGTTCAGATTTTGTTTGCGATGGGAACATTGCAATGTCGTTGCATGGCAATTTCATGGTTGTGCCTTTAATGCGGTAGTTCTGACCATGACAAAATCCATAATGATCAATAAACAGATCATACCTCTAGAATGGTCTTTTTTGCAGATGGAGTGTCAACTCCCTCATACTTTTCTATAATGGTATAATAGCTCCTTCTGTTTTTGTCTATCACTTGTATACACTTGGACCACTTCTTTCTCTGAAGTCATCAAAGGCTCGTTCATTGGGCCCGATAATCGTGCAGTCTCTATCTTTGCCACATGAGTTTCCCCTTCTTTAAGAAGCTCTGTGTAGTATATGGCATCTTGTAGGTGGGATTCGGATTTGTCAAACAGGACATGCATTGTTGGGATCCTGATGGTGCAACCCTTGTGCTTGGCTTTTATGCACTGATGGTAAGTGGGTGGAACTAACGCCAGAATGTGTATCAGCGGGCACCCCAACAAGACATGGTACATTGTTTTCCCAAAAATTACTTGAAATTCCTAGTTGATAAAGAAAGGTCCAATAACTATTGGCAACTCAAGCGACCCTTCCATAACGAACTCATTCCCGTTAAAATCCATGACCTCCATGGGTAGTCCTCTAATAGTCTCCTTTTGTATATTCATGAGCTTCAGGGTGTGAAGAAAGATCAGGTTCATGGAACTTGATCGATCAGCAAACGTTGCATCTCGTACCCCCTACTTTGGCCATAATGTACAGGGGCCGATTGTGATAAGGGTCCACGGCCAACATATCATCCATAGTGAATTCTACGTTGGACTTGTCTATTCGGTGAGGTTTAAGTGGTCTCTTGAAAGCCTCTGCTAATGCCTTGATAGCGGGTCATCGCATCGTGGCATTATCTCCTTGTTTGCTAAGAAACTACTACAAGTCTGGGTTTTCCTCAAACCACTGTATTAGCATGTTCACATGGTCACCACCTTACGTCCCAACCATGTTTATACTGCCTCCTTGCGAGTGCACGGGGAGGGGATTGGTTTCCACCTGTTTTGGTTTTCTTTTAACAAAATCATCTAACTTTACCTTTTGCACGAAGAGCTGCCAAAGGGTGAAGTAGTCCATCAAGTCATGGTTTGGCGACTGGTGATAGTTACACCTCCTCCCCCGTGTCTTTCTTTCTCAGGGTCAATCCTAGATGGTGGTGGCAGAAAACTAATCACATGGTCTTCCACGAGTTTGTCCATGATCATTAATACTTCGTTCTTGCTACAAGGGAAAGCAGGAGGGGGTGGCAGCAATGGGCCATTTTGTCAGCTTTTTTGCTATTGTGATAGTAAGGCCCTTGGTTGGGCCCTCTGGTGTTCTGGGGTCTGCGATTGACAACATTGCTTTGTTCCTGGCATATGGTGATCTTGATGTAATTGACTGCGATGTCAGGGCGGCAATGGTCTGTGCTATCCTCTCAGCGCACTTCCAGAGTTGGCTCAAGGTTTCAACATCGATGTTCTCGTTCCCAATTCTGTACACTATGTGCATCGCATGGATGCACTACTCCACAATGCCCTTTTCTATCACGTGCTCTTCGAAGACTGAGTGCGTTAACTTCTGAAATCGCATGATGTATGTCAAAAGGTCTTCTCCAACATGTTGTTCGGTATTGCGGAGGTCCGCCATCGTCAGTCTCCGTTCGAGTGTGAACCACTTAGATAAGAACTTCTTTGTGAGCTCTGCCCACAAATCGATGCTCCCCGTCATTAGGTTGATGAACCATGAATATGTCGGTATAGTAAGAGATTTAGAAAACTCCCAAACTTTCAAGTCCCCGTCCAAGGCAAATGCTCCTAGTGCATCTTCAAATTTGTTGACATGTTCTTATGGGCTCTTTCTCTACCTATCATACTGCGGCCACAACTAGGGGAACATAGCTAGAGGGATATGGTTTGTATGAGATACGATTGGAGTAAGGCTTTTGGAGCATGAGTGTAGGCTGGGTTCTGTTTTGGCTCTCCTCCACTAGGCCTTATACATATTCTCTTATCTCCATTTGGCTGATGGGCGCCTCCGTCATCATATTACCCCATGGGATTGTACGGGGTTGTTCAATGGCGAAGAGGCAGGTCCTCTATACTACGTTTGGTGCAGGTGCAAGGTTGGCTTCGAAGGGATGCTTAGTTGCTCCAAGATTCAGGCCTCCAGGGTGGTTAGTAGGGATAGATGTAGAAGGGCCATTAGGGGTGAATGGGAAGTATTCGGTTGTCGTCATTTTCTGTAGGAGTAGTTGTAGGGTATTCCTCATCTCGGCTTACATCTATTCTAGGCGGTCGAAACGGGTCTCGAAGTCATACACTTTGTTGGTCAATATCTCAATATCAGCTTGGTCAATGGTTTCTTAACTAGCTTGGTCCTCAACTTCCAAGTTAGCATTCTTGAAGTTGTTGGGTTGTTCTTCTAGGATAGGGGAAAGGTTGATTCAGTGAGCAGCCATCCTCAGTGATCAAGGATGCATCCAGAGATTCTAATGTATATGTGGTGGTGAGGCTAGGTAGAATGGTCTCTTTGAAGGATGGAGAAGGGCTAAGTTAGTGAAGCTAGGTGATCTGTCAACTTTGGCTGAGTGACTATGGATTCCCCCATTTTCTGTCTAATCCCCCTTAATATAGGGAAGATCTCAAGGCCTTATAGAGAAACACCTAAAAGGATCCAATTCCTATTAGGGAAGGGGATCTTTGATTCGGCGTCAGCTGCTAGGAGGATACTACTCGGGGGTTCACCACGTGTCAGACGAGATTTTCCTAGGACAAAGTTTCCTTTCGTTCGAGGATTCTCATGATACACGTGTGCTACTTCCTTTTGTGGATCTCCTGTGTTGTCGTGTCATAAAGATTAGTATCAACGTGTCTTATCCGATGGCTTCATTATCCGCTCGATATTAAGCATAATCACAACCGCACAATGTTTTTTTTTTCGTTCATCATGCATTCCATGGTAACTCACAAACCTGTTGTGATGCAGTCCTTTTATGTGTCTATGTGATTTTATTTTGGTGTGGACATTACAGTTATAGTTACAGTAAATTACATATGCTTACAACATGTTTTTATTGTTTATCTTTAACTTAACAAATCCCGCACATCACATGGGTCCCTACTAGTTTTATATTAAAAAGATTTTATAAAAAACACATGTAATGCAAATAGATGTATGCTGATGTCAAATATCCCCACTCTATAATTGTAACCCAGAAGGGTCAACGATTCCTTAAGAAAAAATTAAAAAAAAAAAAAGGTAAGAGGGACTTGTGGCAAATCAGTGCTCTTGCTTATTTCCTCCCAACCACTCACGAAGACCATTGCCGTCTTATTTTGTTAAATACTGTTGGGATGAATTATAAAATCCCAAACTGGAGATTTCAATAATAACAGATACCCATTCCATCCCATCCTCCCATGTTTCTGAAATTGCAAACACCCCCTTTAGTCAGATCCCAAAAAAGAGTAGGTGATATTAGTAATAAATGCAATATCAAAATGATTTTACACAAGTAACCCTAACTTTTTACATACTAAATCCATTAATTCATTGTACTCAAATAATACACCAAAAAGGATGGCTCAATTCTTAAAAGGTTTGAGGGCAGTAGGGCACCCATAAAGGTTGAAATTATCATAATTTTTTATAAAAAGGTTGAAATGATGATTATATGATGATAGTATGGTACTTGTTTAAGGTAGCGATGGGTAATTTAGAAACTTGGGATACGTATTCGATATTATTGAAAACATTTTTGTAATTTACACAAAGGGCCGTTATTTCCCCGAAGATTGTTTCCTCTCTCCTCCCAGGCTTCCAAACTCTCTCACTTTTTAGTTTTTCCTGCCTGTCTGCTTCGTTCTCGGCTTCGATGGATTACGATTTCAGGAACAGAGCAGGACCACCATACGATTCGCACAACTCGATGTACAGGCCAAACGCGAGCTCATCATCATCAAGCCATCCACACCATGGCTCATCTCTTTACCCCAGGGTTGGCCAGCCCGGTCATGCCGTTATCCCTCCGGCCAGCCGGACGACCCCCCATCATCAAATTGCTTCACCTTCCTGTAATCTTTCACCTTTACCGATTTGAATTCAAATATAATTCAATTGTTTTTTCGGTAGCTGCCAACGTAAATTTGAATTCAAATATTTAATACCGATTTGGATGATTTCTGATTGATGATGGTCTAGGTTTCTAGGCTTTATAATCATACAATCAAACTAGTCACAGACCTTATATTTCCACCTATATGGTGAAAATTCTACTAGAATTCGAAGTACTTTATTTTTATCTTCTGCATAATCAGCTTTGATATTAGGGTGCATAAAAAGTTTATTATTTTCTTTGGTTTGCAGTAGGATTGGGCATTAGAGTTGCAATAAAACCAGAGTATCGAATAACTCCACCAGTAAGTCTTTCATAACATATTTATTTCAATTGCACCAATAAGTAAAACGCAACATATTCACATGTTCTGCTGAAAGTTAAGCTATCTTTCGGCCTTCTTACTCCATGATAAGTAAGAACGAGCAAATGATGTTTTACATTTAGGATGATGCTAATTACTTTAAAAGCAAGTTGAATCTGAAAATGCTGTGTGTGTGTGTCTTGACCTCCTAAATGGACATGTCATTACAACTCCAAATAGTTTCATGTGTACAAATGCTTGTGATTCTTTATTTGTTCTTAGTACTCAATATGGATCCATCTTGCATGTTAACATGCTAAATTTGCAGCCTCAGCTGTCCCCACAAATGGAAGATATTCCCCGAAGCACATTTCAATTTGATTTTGAATTTGAGAAAAAAATTCTAGCTGAGGCAGAGAAGGAGAGCCAGAATTGGAGCAAGCTTGTTTTGGAAAACCTTCCATCTAGAGGGACGGAATCAATTTCTTCTTTGGTATGATGGTTTTTCCTGGTATTTTAATGATAATACTACTACTAGAAATGCATACATTTAACTTCTTTTTTTTGTTGAAGGTTTTACTATAGGGTTAAGTTACCTTGAAATAGGCATACATACCTTTTCCCTGTAGTAAAAATTTAGTTTTATCACACTTTTTTTTTTGTCATCTCGATCTCAATTCTGTTAAATATGTTATATAATAAAATATCAAGTGAAGTAGAAAGATACAGAAGGAGATATGCTTATGCAGAAACACTTGGAGGTTCATCATAAAACACCAAGGTGACCAATTAGGATGGAGATGATTAGTGGAGCTGCAATTGTGGTCATTGAATTTGCATAACATTCAAGTACCAAAGTGGTTTAAAATAATTAAAGTTGAGCTTATTCTGTAATTCCTGCAAATTCTTGGGGCATAGAAGCAACAAACTGCCTTGATTTCTTCTCTAGCACGAGTCAAAAAGAGCACTACAAATTCTCCATTAGCTCTTGAGAGTTTTTTGTTGTCCTCATGATATGGTACAAGTTTGAGATTCTCTTTTTGCCAGCAGATCTGAGTACCTTATAGGGAGTGCTTGTTTTCATCCCCTTTGATTATTATTATTTTTTTTTTGTACAGGTTTGATAGGTCATTTAGAATTTGAATTAACCTAACCAGTAGCCTTATAGGCATAACAATAGCACTCTAATACAGAAGAAATACCACTATAATGCAAACCAAAATGATTGTTACCCTTCAAGTATCTAGATACTCAATTGATTTCTTTCCAATCCCCATATTTTTTACACAATATCAGGAAATTAACTCCAGTAGGCTGCAGGTACTATGGATTTCTGACCCAATTGAGTTGCCTTCCTGTGCCTTGCCAGTGCTGCTTGTAGGTTATGATGTGCATGTGCCTTGGGACAGCTGTCTCCTGTCCTCCTACTGGTGGAGAATCCGCTCCAGAGTTCTCAAGTATCAAAAGTTTAGTAGGTCATCATCCCTCTTAAACAAAAACAAAGGAACTCATCATTCATCCCATGGACGGGATGTCAAGTATTTGTGTTTTTTATGGGCCTTCCATTTCTAAAATGGATCATGGACCATGTCTGGTTCTGCTTAATTTGTAAACACCAGCAAGTCTACAGCCATTAGATTAGTTGTAAATAATTGCTGATAAAAAAAAGTTTGGATGTAAATAATTGGTACTAGGACGTAATAGGATGTTTGAATGGGAGTGATGAATTAACTAGATGTAGATGACACTTCCTTTTTTCTTTTTTTTATAAAGAACTTGAATTTTATTAATAAACTTTGTCATATCCTTACAAGCATCCCATAGAGAGGCACGAGCTGCTACCTCTCATACAAAAAGAAAACCATTACGAGTGTGCCCTGAATAAAATAGACCTATTTACCTCTGACTTAGCCAAAGCATCCATGATCCACTATCCCATTTTCTGATCTCCTTACCCATTGAATCCTCAAATTCATATTCTTGGTTAGCCACATGAAATTTGTCATTTCATTCTGATAGCACCGGATTATAGACTCTGGATTCTTTAGCCATTCTACCACCACTTTCAAATCCCGTTCAATCACCACAGTTGTCAAGCTTAGCTCACTAACTATCTGTACCCCTTGAATTGCAGCAAGCAGTTCCACTTTGTGGGAGTCACCATACCTGCCGGGCCAGAAAAAAGTATTGTAAGTTTACCTTCTACATCTCTCAAACCCCCTCCTATTCCAGAAGGGCCTGGATTACCTTGGCTGCTCCCATCAAAGTTCAGTTTAACAAAACCTTCAAATGGTGGCACCCAAACAACCTCCACTCTGTCCTTTCTCTTAGAGCTTTTAGCAACTGCTTCCTAATTCCTCCAAATATCATCAAAAGAAAACTAGGAAAACACCTCCAAATATCATCACACAAGTTCTGATTTCTTCCTTCTCTCCTTCTCTGAGAATATTCTTGCATTCCTCTCTTCCCAGAAGGTCCAAATCAAGGCTGCTGTTGAGGGCCCGAGAATAGGATCTCGTCACGGGTCGGTCCACGGGGAAAACCTCATGTTTTCCCTTGTTCCTTCCTGCTCTTGATGAACCTATCTTGGCACCTTGGTGATTTGTTCAAGAGATCACCAACTCTCCTAACTCACTTCTTTAACTGAATATTCGATATCTCATTCAATAATGGTGTCTCCTTAAATAGGAGATTACAAGAGTCCTAATCTTAGGGAGTCTCCTTGCTGAATAGGGAGACTTCCAGTCCTATCTTGCTAAGGATAAGATAAATTAATCCTAATCTGATAATCCACTAATAAGATAAGATAAGAGCAATAGAATAAGATAAGAACAAGCAAGATGATCTAATCTAATCTGCTGTTGCCGAACTGGGTAGGACGAGGATCATTGAATCACTGCTGCTGCTGGCGGTGGGTCAGGTTCCTGTTGCTGCCGGCGRCGATGATACTTTTTCCCGAGGAATGCGTCCATAACATTACTCCCCTCCTGGACTAAGAGCTTGTCCTCAAGCTCGAACTCCDGATACRTGGCTTGGAACTCTGCCAATGGAATCCAGGTGGCTTCGGCCGATGGTAAGCTACCCCATTCCACCAAGACTTCAAGAATTCCTCGATTGAAATGAGAGCGGGTGAGAGCCCTAGGCTGGGGAACAAGTTTGCCATCTTTCAAGGGCGACAGGGAGGGGACTTGGTCCGGAGGATCACCCGTAAATGGTTTCAGCAAGGAGATATGAAAAACATCATGAATCCGACTGTTCTTTGGCAATTCTAGCTGGTAGGCCACACTGCCAATCCGCCGTAGAACCTTGAAGGGCCCATAGAACTTAGGGGCCAGTTTCGGGGCAGCCCTGTGGCGCAAGGAGCGTT